GTTTTCAAATCGGTACGAACGCGTCTTGCACCAATCGGTGATTGCTGCAACTGCTTGTGTTGTTGCTGTTGCTGTTGCTGTTGCTGTGTGTCTTGTTGGTTCGATGCCATTGTCGTTTTGATTTGCAACAACAACAACAGCGACACAATCTAGAATGTTGCAACAGCATTTGTATATATACCAAAGGCACTGATTTTGATTTGATCTATGTATGTATAAACGTTTTAATGTTTTTTTGTTTCTAATTTTGCATCGGTTAAGTGCTTAGTAACAGTTAAATTTTTCAGAAAATTTCGATGTTCCACTAGTTGTGTAAAAAACGTGTCACCATGGCAAAGTAGAAAATGTCAGACTGACGTTTGCGTGCATAATCCTTCTTCGTGCATTGGTATTGTTGTTTTTTTTTGTTATTTACATAGTATGACACAATCCGCACATGCGCATTGTAACAACTTCCCAGTAAGAAATATTTAGCGATAAAGAAAACTGGATCTTGTCCATCGTGAACGAAATTGTTTGGCCATAAAGCGAGACACACATTATATACTTACATATAGCATTTTTGAGAAACGAATTAATTAAGGTTCGAATTCTAAGTAAAATACTGATTGCAAGCAAATGACTTTTAAACTAATAGCCTGCAAGTTAAAAATCGATTAACTTTCTTACAGGGCCCTCATTAACTATATGAAAAATTATATCTAGTCCGTCACTCTAATTTCCAAGAGAAAAGGGGTTCGGTTTTTGTTATTAATATTAACGTACATGCATACTGTCCTATATTTATCATGTGATAACAATTCATTTGAAAGTAAAAATAAAATGTTATTGTTATTGGAATAATTACATTTTAATAAACTTATGTATATTTTTAACTAGGTTTCGTGTAACGCAGCCATTTTCGTTTGAGAAGTTGAAAAGGGGAAGCAATTTTTTTTTTACCATGCCACCTAAAATAAAGTCTCGTTCAATTCATGATGTCATTTGGTTTCCTTGACTCTTTTTCAGGATAATAATGATGTATGTATATCTGGCATAACTACTCGATTCCAACAACTGAAATAGTCAACTAAAGACGTTGTCAGATAAGAATAGGTATCTTTATTTTTAATTTCTGAGCTCAAACAAAAAATAAAAGCTCCCGTATTGAAATACTATTGCTTATGTTGCTTTTGGGCGTCTGCGACTTCTCAGAATTGACGAATCAAAAATTTTTAAAAATTGGAGAAAATTGTTTAGGAAATGATTTTATTTCACACTTTTAAGATTTTCCGGTTTTGATCGCAACGTTAGCTTCAATAGAATTGAAGTGATTTACATATGAGTATTTACAAATAGGCCTATAGGGTTTTTATTTATTTTTCGCGGTAGATTTTTCGTGGAAATTGCGCTTATATACGAAATAATTAATTATTTAACAATTCCAATAGATTTAATTGGCAACAAGTCTTTCATTCAATATTTATCTAATAACATAAAATTTCTACTGCGCAAATACAAATTTGAGATTATACACATACGTATATAACTTATTATTGATACAAATTTCTAGACAACAGCACTTTATGATTGCCAAAGGTACAAATCGTGTGATCCCTGCTGAAATCTCAGAAATTGTTTATGACTTTTGCTAACATTTTAAAATGAAAAAACAAGTGCATGAGCAGTCACACCTTGCATGTAAATTGTCTTTCGAAAGAGGGTTTTTATTTTCGAAAAGCGAATTGCTGGGACAATCGCTGAAAACTCTTTTTGGCTTTTCACAACGCGGTTGAATTTCTTGCAATCTTTCTCGATACTTAAATGCAACCGTGAGCCGCCTTGCCGTCGGTTTGTTATTTCTCTCGCAAAAAGGCAAAAAAGCTTTTCTGAGTAGCTTTTCAATAGTTCTGGAGTTTTTGAAAAGAAACAAAAGTTCTGTATATTTTAACAAATACAAATTGATTTAAAAATTGTGTATGACAGATTTACGCAGCATACGACGTGTGACAAAAACGCAAATATAAATTGTTGTGAGGAGCTTTTAAATAGTTTTAGAGGCCTTACAAAAGAAAAAAAGTTCTGCAAAATTGCGCAGAATTAAATTTTCGAAAAAAATAAAAATTAAATCTGTTCTGAGTAGCTCTTCAATGGTTCTAGAATTCCTGAGAAGGAAAAAAAGTTCCGCAAAATTACGCCGAAAGGGCACTTTTTTCGAAAAAGTCGAAAAAGTTAAATTTTTGAAAAAATATTAAAACTGTGCTGAGTAGCTTCAACAGTTCTAGAGTTCCTGAAAAGAAAACAAAGTTCTGCAAAATTACGCCGACAAACATTTTTTTCAAAAGTCGAAAGAGTTTAGTTTTTGAGAAAAATAAAAATGTGATCTGTCCTGAGTAACTTTTGAAAAAGTTCTAGAGCACCTGAGAAGGAAAATGAAATGACGGAAAAACATTAAAAAGGCCGAAAAAGTTAAATAAAAATAAAATAAAACTTTTATGAGTAGCTGTTCAATAGTTCTGGAGTTCCTGAAAAGTAAAATAAAGTTCTGCAAAAAAAATATTTACATTGATATTTATTTCAATATTGTTGTTTAGCTTTGTACCATGATTACGTTCTTTAGGAAAAATGGAAAAAAGCAACAAAGTCTTAGCGGTAGAAGTTATATCTGCTATTTCGGAGATCACGACATCTCCTCATCAGACTTCTTTTTCTAGACTTCAGCAGTAATCGAACCCGCATCATCGATGTGCAAAGTCAGAAGCGCTAACCCCTAAGCTAGCACACCCTGTAAACCCTTCCCAGTGGGAAAATGTAATGTATTGTATTCGAACAAATAATCAGACGTTTTCACATTCGAAAATGCATTATTTTTCCCACGCCGATGTCCTAAGAAAACTGGAGCATTCAGTTTTTAACCGACTTCCAAAAAAGGAGGAGGTTATCAGTTCGTCGAAATATTTAAAACTTTGCACCACGTCCACCGATTTCAATAATTCTTTTTGCAACGGAAAGGTAGTGTCTCAGAGGTGGTCCCATACTAATTTGATCCGATCATTGGATCATGAAATATATAGATATATATTTTTTTTAAGTCGTTTTTTTTTTTGCTAAAAATTACTTGTTCATTACCAGTAATGCAAGAATGAATGTGATTCAATATGAAATTTTTGCGACTTTTTGGATACATTCGAATGCTGAATACCAGGGAACGGATTTTTAGGACCTAAAAACCTATAAAAAGGCAAAATAAAATAACGAAATAGGCTGGAAAAGCAAAATAAAATAGCAAAAAAGGCGGGAAAAGGCACTAGGTATTACAAAAAAGGCAAAACAAAATAGCGAAAAAGGCACTAGGTATTGTCAAAAAAGCAAAATAAGGCACTAAAAAAGAAAGAAAATACGAAGAACAATCAAAAAACACATCTATTTTAGAAATGTTTATATTACAGCAAAAATAGAAGAACTATGAACTAGTTTCATTATATGAAAAATTTGTACTTCGAATTTTTGACTATTTTATCCTCTCGAGTTTCTAACTCATAAAACTTTAATCTGTATAGTTGTAGTAACATTGAACCACAAGATGCATTTTGAAGTTTTCTGGCAGCATTTTCATTCGATTTTCGCGAAGAAAAGCCTTGAATGTACTAAATGTGCGCTCGACGTAAATATGGAACGTTTGAACGTTTGAATATGTATATTTTTTAATTAAAAAAAAAAAAATTAAATGCTACAATCACTTTTTTAAAGGTAGAAAAGGCAAATATCTTGAAAAAGGCAAAAAAAGGCAACATCAAATGTGTATATATGGAATCAGAGAAAGCCAAATCGTGGACATTCTTAATTGAATATATTCTATCTCTTTAGCAGAAAAAAGGCAATTTCCATAAAATCCGTTGCCTGCTGATTAAATATTAAACAGTAATAGAATCTAGAACTCATAATAAATGCATTACATTATTTATCACTAATGTGACCAACTATTTCATAGCTCAAAGAAGTACAGGTTAAGTTGGGTTAAGTTAACACCGCGTGCCGATTACGGAATCTCGAATGCGGCTAATTTTGATCCCAGGGAGCCCAGTGTTTGTTCAGAACTG